GGAAATTTCTGATCTTTTAGGGACTGGGCTACGTCTTCCACAGGGATTTCCTTAGGGATGCGTTTTATCACAACTCTAAGGATGCGCTCTTCTGCGAGTGTGTACGTGTGGTAGTACACCTCCTTTTCATGCAGGAACCGGGTTACGAACCTGAAGGCCTCGGCGGTCTCCAGTTGCATCCGAATGCCTTGGGCTGTAGCTGCGGCTACGACTTTAAATTTGTTGGACATGGCCGATTGAATCATCGGCCATTTGTCCGGGGCTTGGATGTAAATTGGTGGCGGTTTTTTATCCATCAGCGCACGGGCTACGAGGGGAACCGGACGGACAGACGACTGCTTTATGGGAGCAGTTTTGGGGGGCTCGACGGGCATTGCCATAAGGGCAGGAATCGGATCCGACTTGGCAGATCTGGATTCCAGCGGGGAGTGAGGGCGCGGCGCTTTCGGAGGTACGGGCGATGACGATAATGATGACGCTGCTGACGAGGGGGCGGGGGAAGAGCGCTTCTTGCGTTTCTTCTTGTTGCGGACTTCCGTAAACGTTCCTCCTGTGTCTTCCGGGTTTTCGGGGGATAAGGGGGAGTCTAGCTCCATTTCTTCGATGTCGCTACCCGATGATAACGACGCATCGCTGATGGGGTCGGTCGTGGATGGGCCTGCGCGGACTTGGGTTTCAGCGGTAAGCGCCATAAACGCGTCAGGGAATTTTGCCCTGAGGAATTCCAGGACGGCTACAAGATTTAGGTCCGCCATTTGGACATATGGTGGACCTATTCTCTATAAATATTAAATTCTCCCGGTGGGATGCCGGGGTGTGTATCCCTAGCTCCCTCCCTGCTGGGTTAAGCAGGGAGGATGTGTGCCTACTACGTGGAGCCCTAGTGCGTCCGAGTGCCGATCTTATTGTGCACTCGGGTGTGTACTTAAGTCTAACTAAAGCTACCCGTGGGCTCTAAAAGGCCAAACGTGGACCAACGTTGACAAGGGCACTACCCAAGGCCAGTGGTGGAGGTCCCTTCCGTATTACGCGGTTCCCTGAAGGGGAAACGCAGGCGAACGGGGCTGCCTGACTAGCTTCGTTATCACCGTTAGGTATCCGCTAGCCTTTTAAAATTGCGCTGTTAAGAAGTTGCTCCGCGCAGTGAAAACTGCACTTCACAATTCCTTTCACGCAGTTCCCGAAGTCGGAAACAATAGACGTTGCTATGTTATTAATAAGAAACTAGATAATTGCTTGCCAGGTGGCGGTGCAATAAATAGTTCCCTAAGGAACAATGAAATGACGACGTTCTACCTCGAAACTAGGATTATCGCTTGTCAAATGGCGGGCGCAATAAAAATTGCACCAACACAATCGGCTCGCGAACAAAGGATGGCGGCACCTTTTACGGCGCGCGCAGGTGCGGATTGCTCAACGAATTGTTGGGCGGTGCGACAGAAGTGAGGCGAGCGGACACGTCCTTTCACCTCAGCGGTCTGTAGCGGAGTGCCGGCACCCTAAGGGTGTTTCGGGCTATATATAGCTGCCTTCGCCTCCCTACTCGTCTGCGTCGGAGCGGAGGCGTCTGAGGATCAACCTCGCGCTCTCGCTCCCTCTCCTCGATATTAATTTGCAGGACACTTCCCAACATGGCGTCTATAGCGCCAGGAAGGAAGAGGTCATCACCTATCGTCGGCACCAAGGTGTGGCGCTCGTCAGACCAGGCAGAGCACACTTCTAAGGTGTACTGTGCCGTGAGACTGTGTTCTACATCTGTGCCAAATATCAGCAAGATCTATGCAACCGTTGTAGAGATATCTTCTAACAAACATCCATCCAAACATTTGCATTTATCATATTAGTAACGTGTTTTATATCGTTCTGACCATTTGCGAGGTCGGTCATTAATATGATAACATTTATTTATCTTACTGGGGTTAATATAATGGTGAGTTTCCACTGAGGAAATATCTACATAAATAGACATAAAATAGACTACATTAAAATTTTAAAAGTTGAATACTTACCAATTTAATTAATTGTTACTAAAAGATCACAGGTGAATAATATCTGACGTTCTAACAGTGAAGGAAAACATCGTAATGCAACTCATACATATAATAGAAGAGAAGATATGTATGAAGTCAACCCGCACTCGGTCAGCGTAGTTGACTATGGCCTAGTCAACCCTAACTTAGGGTTGGCTCTAAGCCCCTCAGTGTAACTGATGATGATAGAACGACCCATTAGTCGACACCGTGTTGACCATGTCTAGTGTCGTAAGATAAACGAGGTGGTAAAAGATCTAAGATCGAGAAAAGTAGCAATTTTGTTAGAGGAAAAGGAATACTTTAAATCATTACGTCAATCTATGTAGTAATTCGTCAAGCATTGCATGCTGCATTCATAATGAGTATTTTTTGTTTTTACATATCGTAAAGTCACAATCCTTCTCTGGCACCCAGAGTTCTATCAAATATACGTTTAAGTCTATCCAATAAATTCATCATCATCAGCTCACTATACGTCCCCACCGAGGGGATCGGAGCCTACCCTAAGGGTGATTAGGCCATAGTCAACCACGCTGGCCAAGTGCGGGTTGGTTGACTTCACACATATCTTTGAATTACTCTCAGATGTGTGCAGGTTGCATCACGATGTTATCTTTCACCGTAAGAACCTCTGATAAATGTACATATGTAAATCGGAAATCGAAAAACACATTGATACATGGCGGGATTCGAACCCAGGACCTGCAGATTGCAAGTCAAGTGCTTGACCACTGAGCCACCGACGCTCTACGCTCGACGCTCCAATAAATTACGTATATATAAACATAGTTTCTTTTTAAATCACGTACTTTAAATACGGAGCTTGAATATGTTGAGATAACATTATCGTCCTTTTAGGATTGTTGTCAAATTCCTTAACGAGATTCCCCTATTCCGATAAATCCCTTAGGTTAATAATGTTTTCTAATCGAAGTTAAAATAAAATATTCAAAGTTTAAGTAATGCATTTATTATGAGAAACATCTACTCTACATATTTACAGGGTACTTGTAAAACACTAACATCCTCGTAGGATAGGTAACGTCATAAAAAAATGTTCTACGACTTTTGATAATTTAAATTTCCACTCAAAGAGATTCTTAACTCTATGTATATTACAAAGTTTAGCTAAACAAAAGAGGGGAGTGAGGGGGGTGAATGAAACATAGACTTATAAATGTCACGACAGTACAGTAAAAATTCAGATTACCTTTTTTATTTTATATAGTATTTACTTATGTTACATTTCGTAGGACAAACCGTGTTCATGATGTTAGGTATGTTGCGAATTAGAATTTTACTAGTAACTCTATATATGTCATACTACTGTCATACCACACAGAAGACAGGCGTGTAGTGGTAGCAATTCCGCCTTCCGTCTTATGAGTGTGTATCCTGGAGGCTTATTTAGTCCTCTTTCCTTTTCCACTTTTTTTTCTTATAAAGAAAGGATGGAAAGTGGAAGTGTACTTTCCGAATGAGAGGATGCATGGAAAGGAAAAATATTTTCTTTCTGTGCATCCTCTCCTCCGTCCATTAAAGGTAGGCAACGCATATGCAATTGCGTATGTCTATGGGCAACGGTCACTTCGCTATTTCAGTGATTTCAGGTGGCCGCTCGCAGGTTTGCCAACATATTATATAAAAAAACAAAATTGATATAAATAACGAAATATTAATTTTGCAACACGCAATCTAAAAATGCATTCTTCTTATTTCTTACATTATCTGATAAATTCATACGAGAGATTGATCAGGTTCATCGAAGTCTAAATTGTAATATTTTCTTTCTTCTCGTAATTCTTTAATTTCCGACTCGGTCAACGTTCTGCGAAATGGTAGTGCAATCGCGGCGCATAAGTAATAAGCTGTAAAAAAGAAAAAAAGTTAAAATCATGCTATATTTATTTACATCTCACCAGTCAACCACATATTCTAATATTAGATGTGGGCCACGACTCTGTTGGCGCGGTATTAAAAAAGACATAATTAGTAGTCTATGTGTTCTTCCAGACTATGTTCTACATCCATGACAAATTTCATCGATATCCGTTCAGCCTTTCTGGACATACTTTCAATCAAACATCCATCCATCCATCCAACTATCTAAACATTCGAATTTTTATTATCACTAGTAATCACCCGCGTCCGTCCGCGGGTAATAAAAAAAACTCAGTAGTCTGCATATTCGTCTAGACTATGTTCTACATCCATGCCAAATTTCATCAAGATCCGTTCAGCCGTTCTGGAGATACCCAACAAACATCCATCCATCCATTGGCTTTTATAAATATCATAAACCTTAATTTTAAAATGTATAATACTTACTCATGTGAATTATAGCATTAATTGGATAAGTAAAGCTTTGCCACAGTATCGCTGATTTAATAATTAATATCCAAGAAATATAATATCTTATAGCAACTCTTAGATAGAGGAACCATGCGTTATATTCCAAAGACATTTTGCCCTGAAACAATACAGAATAAATTAATAAAGAAGATGTTTTTCGACAATAGATTTTCTTTTCATATATCATAAGGTGGGAAACGAGCGAGCGGCCACCTGAAATCGCTGAAATAGCGATGCGACCGTTGCCCATAGACATACGCAATTGCATATGCGTTGCCTACCTTTAATCGACGGAGGAGAGTATGCACAGAAAGAAAATATTTTCCCTTTCCGTGCATCCTCTCATCCGGAAAGTCCACTTCCACTTCCCATCTTTTCCTTATAAGAAAAGGGTGGGAAGGGAAAGAGGACTAAATTAGGCCTCCGGGACGCACAATTTTTTTTTTTTCATATATCATAAGATGGCAAACGAGCGAGCGGCCACCTGAAATCGTTGAAGTAGCGAAGCGACCGTTGCCCATAGACATACGCAATTGCATATGCATCCATCGATATAAACTTTCACAATTTATAGTATTTAGTAAAAACCAAAGCTTAAATAAATCCGAATTCCAATGCATCAAATGACCTTGAAAAGTCCGGACTACCAATACATTAAAAATGCGATGTAAAAACCTAACTGACATAAAGTGCGCGTGTGCAGTATCGATTTAATCTGAAGTAAAGGTCAACTCGCATTCGTCTTCTTGTACCCACTGCACCGCCCAATTTAACGAACGTCACGTTATTATAGTGTGTCTATTTAAGATATATTAGTTTGACAATTCGCTAGATATGGATTGAGTAAAATCGATTAAGAATTTTTTCGATTTTCGATTGGTTGTTCACATAGAACTTGCTATCGAAAATTGCGTGATACTTGATTGTGAATTACAATATAAATAAAACTATTTCTTCCTATTCCTACTTTATCCTTCATAAAGACGTAAATAAATAAGACATTAAACCAAAAATTGCGGTGTTGACGAACAAGAAAGATTTTTTTTTGATTGTGCGTTACATAACCAAATTACTATAATAAATTGAAAAAATTATAAAACTCTTGAATTATAATACCTATTTGTACGAATAATTTTATTACAAGACCGATTATCGATAGTTTACAGTTATTTCTTGTGCGCGTTGAATCGACACTATGACAACAGTCCATTAAGTACAACATTAATAGTCATACAAAATTAATTCGATACTTCATGAGCGTCAGTTGTCAAATTAATCTATCTTAAATAGACACACTTTAACCAAGTATGGACCAGGACCATGGATAGCCCAGGTATGGGCATATGCGTGATGTTAAAACAAAGATAAATGTATACTTACTTTACAACACTGGCATATAATATATAAATCCAAGACCCCGCCAAATAACATCGTAATGTATACGAAAAATAAGATCAAGTCATCCATTGACTGCATATAATATATAACAAGGTACATTAACGCAGCAATGGTGTGGAATGGTAACATTAGCTGGAAATAAGAAAACATATATGAAAACCCGCACATTATGAGTAAAAGCTTAACATTTACCAACTAAACTATCATCATCAGCTCACTAAACGTCCTCTACTAAAGGGGCTCGGAGCCTATCCTAAGTTAGAGGTGACTAGGCCTTTGTGTGCGAAGAGTATTCACATGTGCCCACACCCCGGTAAACAGTGAGTCGAGGGAACCAGAGGGGGTTTAGTGGGTAGGCTCCTTGCCCCTTTAGGGATGTGGAGAGAGTCCCACATAACCCGAGTGGCTTTCCCCGAGGCACCCGGTATGCGTTACGCATTCCCCCTATTAAAAAAAAGGGTGACTAGGCCTTAGTCAACCACGCTACCCAAGTGAGAATTGACTTCACACATATCTTTGAATTTCTTCGCAGATATGCGCAGGTTGCATCACGATGTTTTCTCTCTCGATCTCGGATCTCGCTGAAATTTGGCATAGTTGTAAAACATAGCTCCTAATTAATTTTTGCTTTTTATTCCGCTCGACGGAGTCGCGGGCGAAAGCTAGTTAATAAATACAATTGAAAAGATAGTTAACTTACAATTAATGACTCACTGCTAAATAAAATAAAAAATACTTACTAAAATTAAGCCTTTATCGACGAAAGAAAATGTTTTTATCATTTTTATCTTAAAGTGCCAAAAAATTTAAGATTTAATTAATTTTGTTAAGAAATTAACACTTGCATTCGTAGCTAGAACAAAGTATGGACTGTTTTTATTTTGATACGAGACCTATTATTCTAGGTCTGCGCAATGGAACCATCTGTATGAATACATGTCATCTCTTTCACTCTATAAAGAAAATTAGAGATAGCAATGTTTCTATCAACAGGTGTACCGGCAATGCATCGATATTGCCGCGCAGTTTGCGTAGGAACGAAAAGTTCCAGCATCGATCAGGTCCTAGGCATGCGCAATAAGCCAGACAGATTTTTCTAGAAACTACCACATATTATATTTATTGTACTATGTATTACGTCTATACTATTATAGTATTTTCTCGCGACTTCGTCCGCGTAAACTTGCGAAGCTCAGAGAGATCGAACCTAATACGAAACATTTGGTTAATGCCATGTGCCCGCGATTTACTTCGCGTGAAATATGATCTTTAGATTAACTAGATTAACTAGATTTCCTGTTTAGGTCGAGTCAACCATCAGTAGCTGACAGCGTATAACATGAGAACTATAAAATTTTACACTATTTTGCGTTAAAAATGTAAACTATTTTGTACTGCGATCAGAAACACCGGCCCTTCAATACCAGGGCGTATAAGCGGCGCTCGTCGCCTGAACAGGATTGTCGAATAAATACGCGTGGCGCTCAACGTGTTAACTGTTGAGAAGCAACACTACTATGACTATATTTGTTATGTTAGTACTAGATTTTTACCCCAAGAACAAAGTCGTGAGCACGATATTAAAAAGCTTACTAAGTAGTCTATACAAAGACCATAATCTTACTCTGTTTGAAATGTCATACATATCTTTTTAATAGCATTAGTTTTGTTACGTGGTGCTCCATACATCCATTCCAAGCTTCGAATTTATGATAAGTAATGTAACTAACCACATTCAGATAATTCGTTTCTTGTTTTACATCTTACTTACTAATATTATAAATGCGAATGTTTAGATGGATTTTTGTACATATCTCTGAAAAGGCTCAACGAATTTTAATAAAATTTGACATACATGTAGAACATAGTCTGGAAGAACACATAAGCTACTTATTAAGTTTTTTTTAAGCAACTGCTCGCGCGTTCGAACGAAGCGATTCGAAGCATCGTTCCTTGTGCGTACCGCAAAGGATTGGAACAAGTTGCCAGCCTCTGTTTTTCGGTCCAAATATGATATTGGGACCTTCTAAAGTAGAATGAATAGGCACTTACTAAGCTAGCGCGTACCATCTTTCGACCAAATATCCACTTCACCAGGTGGGATCGTGGTCAAGCGCTAGCTCATAAAACATAAAAAAAAACTGCTAGTGAATAATAAAACTTTTATTATATTTTAATTATTTATTATAGTACAGTATTATATTCACATATAAACATCAAGTAGGATTCAATATTTTTTAATATAATAATACATAATAGAGAACAACAGTAATATTTAACATTGGTAGAGTTTGCAAGAACATACTTTACAGGATTAGGCACAACCAATGCAACTACGACCACATAGAAGACACGTCTCAAATAGAAGCAATTACGCTACTAAATGAAGGGTTAGTTTAATCAACATTCCCTTTCTACCTGTTTTTTATTTGGATGGTAGAGGGAATTTGGAACGCATAGAAAGGGGAAATTTCTTTCGCTATATTTGCCTATGTTATGGGCAGCGGTCGCTTCGCCATTTCAGCGAAACAAATTTGAACTTGCTTGTTTGTTATCTTATAATATGAAAAATAATAACATATTGACATGCGATTTATTTAAATTTGATTTTTTTATTATATTACATGTATGTGTAATTTTTATACTATCATTAATATATTAATTAACTCAAATATATTAATAAATTGCATAATAATTATTAAGTTCAAATTATTTAATATATATATGCGTCTAAGTATCACAGTTAACTACCCTCTAATGCCCGCTACGCACCTTTGGCAAACAATAACAAACAGCAAACAACAAAACATAACCCAAACGTTTGCCTGTTTTCCTTTGGTGTTTGACAAACAGCGAGGTAATTCTATACAAATCAAAGGATATATAAACACGGCTAAACACTCACGTATATACGAACGGTGACGGCACCGACTAGTTTCCCCCCCGGGCAGGAAGGGAAGGACCCCCGATGGGCTCGAAACTAGTCGGTGCCGTCACCGGACGTATATACGTGAGTGTTTAGCCGTGTTTATATATCAGTTTAGTATAATGTCTCACGAAAGTTTGAATAATTTAAATCAAAGGATGTTCGACAAACGTGTTTGCTGTGTATCCAAACGCTTGTGATGTATCAATTTTATGTCGGAGTTTGTCGAATGTGGAAGTTCAAACGCTTTAATTAGTACTAACAAGCTGTCGCCCGCGGCGCCGCGCGGAATTAAAATAACATAATGAGTAGCCTATGTATTCTTCTAGACTGTGTTCTACATCTATGGAAATTTCAGCGAGATCTATACAGCTGTTCTGGAGATAACTTCTAACAAACAACCATCCATCTAAAGTTTTACATTTATAATATTAGTAAGAAGTAAGATTGTTTTTATAAATGTTTATTACCTAGTTCAGTTTTATTTGTGTATATTAGAGGAAGTTTGAAAGTAGCGCCAGTGATCGAGAAATTGAGGAGTAAAAGATTAGCGTGGTTTGGACATGTTATGAGCAGGGATGATGATGATATAAGCAAAAAAGTAATGAGATTGAATGTGGATGGCTACAAGGGTAGGGGAAGACCAAAAAAAGTATGGAATGACTGTGTGAAAGAGGATATGCGTAAGAAGGGGGTAGACTCGGATATGAAGGCTGATAGAGATGTATGGAGGAGTAGTACATACTGTGCCGACCCTCGATAGGGATAAGGGCAGGTTGATGATGATGAGATTATTTGTAGATAGGCAAAGGATAGTAATTTGTAAGATAAATCTATTCTAAAATTGAGATGACGGCTGTTTGCGATATTGTATAAAATAAACAAGAAACAATAGCAAGAATTAGTTACAATTAGTTAAAAATGATTTTAATTGTATGTTACACTTTAAAAATCGACAACAAGCTCGTCATATTTGCCATTCCGAAATAAAGTAGAAAGTTCGCCAAGCGTGAGGATATCCGTGTTGGGAGTTTGTGTTCGGTGTTTGGCATGTGTTTGGCTGTTTGTAGCAAACACCAAGGGTCTGTAGCGGCCATAACACATTACAGCGAAAGCGAACTGTAACCGTATCGAATGGAATTTTTATATAAACTTGTCAACTTGATTTATTACAGTAAACATTATTTGTATGACACTGTTTAAGCATGTGTTTTAACCCTTTGAACGCCGGTGAAGATTAATATCGTGAAAGTGGATACATCACACTGGTTTATTGGTCAAGAATTTATTTCGCTAGCTTAAGCATAATACATCAATAGCCATGATTTATCAAAAATGCGCGCCAAGCGTTTTAGTCACGGTATAAAACGGTTGACGTATATTATTATAAGATAAATGTATTTGAAATATTGTTTATTATTTTATAGAATCTAAGTTAGCACAAAGTAAGTATAACTTAAAGAGAACTCGGCGTATCACTTTTGCTAAATCATGACTTTCGCGTTACTTATCGCTTCGCTTTCGGTTCGCTTTCGCGGCGGTGTGCTAGTAGCATATATTACACGAAATTAAATATGATTTTACATTAATCAGACAACAACAACCGATCAAGCCGAGGTTCGGCCCTATCGGGTACCCTTGAATCGGAATGATAAACGCGTATTGAGTGACAGCCCAAGCCGAGGTCCCCTCTCGGGGGCCCTTGAAATCGTCACTCAAGGGAGTGTCCACCGAAGCGATCTAAGAGCTCGGCGGCCTCCCAATCCGGTAATAATAACAAAGAAACGGCCCGAGCCGAGGTTCCTGAGGCCCTCGAGCTTAGTTACTCTTAAACGAGGTTTAGGCTAAGTGCCATCTGCGTTCGGCCGCCTCAAGCCCGGTGAACCTGTAAATGCCTCCTCAAGGCAAACAGTGGCAATTCAGTCACATATATAATATGATTTTAATTACAAGCACTAGAATAAATTAGTTGATTATTTTAGTGTTTCTAATTCTTCTACATAGGCTTTTAGCACATCGGAAATTATCTAATCTTTAGGTACATATAAATTTACAGCAATAAGGACATTTATATTAGTTTTTTTTCACATAAATAAAGTACATAGTTCCATTAACCTAAGACAAATAAATATAAATATATCAAGTCTTTAAATGCTTTAAAAATTTATTAGAAAAACCGTGGATATCAGAGACCATCAACTCTATATAGAATGCTTTAAACTGAGATTTAAGTTTTAGAAACCCACGATAAAACAATCATTAAAATTAAAAATAATTAAATTATATCTGTGATAATCCAATCCCTTAACATCCAATTGGATATGAGTTTGTCGTCGGAATGGATATAAAAGGAAAAAACACAAAGATTTAAAATTATAAAAGCAGTCATTGATATTTCGATCGCTCCAATTAGATAAGTACCATTCTATCGTTTTCGTAGTTCTTTCTTACACCTGTTGTTCTCTGTTCGAAGGCAGCAGAGAATTCCTGGAGGCGGAACTTTGCTTTACGAAATTAAATTCATATCCCATATGTATCTTATCAATTTCCTTTTTAATTAAATACAGGGCGTAACCGTGTACAACTGAAAAAAATATATATATATATAATCCTAGTACCTATGTTATTTGTAATATTCTCATAAATACATTTAAATCTATATATATACTAACAACGAATGAACCAATCTTTATGTACAATTTATTGTAACTTAAGAGCGTCGGTGACTCAGGGGTCAGGCACTTGACTTGCAATCTGCAGGTCCTGGGTTCGAATCCAGCCATGTACCAATGTGTTTTTCGATTTCCGATTTACATATGTACATTTATCCGACGTTCTTACGGTGAAGGTAAACATCGTGATGCAACCTGCACATATCTGAGAAGAAATTCAAAGATATGTGTGAAGTCAGAAAGATGTAGTGGTGACACAAGTGAGTGTCAGGTCTAAGACGATGTCGAGGACAGAGCGAAATGAAACACTCAATCGGAAAGTTGACCCTACCAACTTGTGGCATGAAAACTAAGCAGAGAGAGAGAGAGAGAAAGATTTATATAAAAAAATACATTAACTAAAAAAAAATAAGATTAATTTAAAAAAGCGGCAGCCCCGACAGCAGCCTAGGGCACAGTGGGCTAATCACCTGCTTGTCCGAACTTTATAGCTTCAAGAAACGAACAAGGTCAAGTCAAGTAAGTCAAGATTAATAATGTTACTTACTTAAGATACTGGTGAGTATACTTGAAGTTATTATAAGGTACTTCTTCACACGAGGTTTATGCCAGTCAATGTTATGAGCAATTGTCGCGTACGCAAACCATATAAAGAATATCATTGGAACTGTTGTTGCGTACAGAAGTCCATAAACAAAGTAGAAGAAAAACATGCATGCGCTTTTCTGAAACAATAAAAGAGAATTTTCACATTTTGTTTGTGTTATTAAAAGTGGATAAATATGTTGTTTAGATAAAATTAGACTTTCAAAAATTCTCAGTGCAGTGAATGGTTAGAAAATATTTTCTATCCATTAACTGCAATAACAATTTTAATTTTAATTTTTATTATTATTTTTTTAAGCATATAATTATTGCAGTCTATGGATAGAAACTATTTTCTATCCATTAACTGCAATAATAGTTGCAGTATATGCTTATTGCAGTATAAAGATAGAAACTATTTTCTATCCATTTACTGCGATATTGCAGTATATGGATAGAAAATTGTTAATAGAAAGACATTGATAGAAATTATAACAAACTCATCTAAACAATTTTATTGTTAAGTATTTTTAATTCTTCGCGAACAGAGCCGCAGGCGACAGCTAGTCGTAAAAGAAAATTAAATCTGTTTTGTACTTACTCTATAAGAGGCTAGTATTAGTACTATGTCGAATACAACATCGGTGACCATTACAATGAATATTGTTAGGAAGAAGCATTGTTCTACAAAATCTTTGGAGGCATACGCGAGGAACGCAAAAGCCATCATGCCGTAAAATGGTAGTACAAAGACAGTCGCCACCTGAAATAAAAAAAAAATAAGCCACATCTTACTAATATTATAAATGCGACTGCTAAGATGGATGGATGTTTGAAGGTATCGTCAGAACGGACTGTGATGAAATTTGCCATACATATAGAATATAGTCTGGAAGAATACAAAGGCTACTTATTACGTTTTTACTTAATTCAGCTTGAATGGAGTCGTGAGCGATAGCTTGTATAAAATAATAACCTAATTTTCATACTTCTAAATTTAAAATAATTCTGAGCAACTGAAATGTCAGAAAATTTGCGCAATTTAAACTTTATTATTGACAATTAATTTCGATTTTATATTAAAATAAGATATATGTTATGTTCAACATATTCATACAAAATTATTAAATACTAATAGTTTAGTTAAAAGACTATAAAAGCTTATCAAAGAGATTGATAGCTTACGTTTTTTAATAATTTAAATCTGATAAAACTTACCAATTTCAGCAACGCCCATAACTCCAATAAAATAGACATGTTTGATATAAAGAAATTTAAACATGTAATTGAAATCAAATAATACGTAAAATACGTGCTTTCATTTCCGCAACACACTGTAGACTGTTTAATTTAGTACTGGAGTTAAAAGGAACCACAGGTGTATATAGCTATCTCACTCATAAGCTTTAGTTATATAGAGACAACAATATGTTTTCGAGTAGACGTTTCGTCAGTGGAAGCCAACGAGAAAGTAACGCAGTTCTATACAATTTCACAGAGTCGATCTATTTCAAGACATGCGCAATAAACTCATTGCCAGCCATCAATAAGATGAAAACGATTTTACTCCGACGTTCTTATGTTGAATGAAAACATCGTAATGCAATCTGCACATATATGCAAAGAAATTTAAACATGATAAGTCACTCCTAACATAGGGTAGACTATTCTAAAGTGTGAACATATTTTCGGTGACTACTACTAATAATTGTCATAGGAAGATTTAATTTTGTGCAAGACGTGATATCGCCCACGACTCAGCGCGGAATAAAAAAAACTTAATTAGTAGCCTATGTGTTCTACATCAATGCCACATTTCATCGAGATCCGTTAAGCCGTTTTAACCGATACTTTCTAATAAACATCCTTCCATCGAAACATTCGCATTTTGAATATTAATATGTTTTTTTTTTTATTTTTAATACACCTTACTAATATTATAAATACAAATGTAAAATAACGGTTGTATGGATCTCGGTTAAATTTGGCGTGGATGTAGAACATAGCCCTGAAAAACACGTAGACTACAAATAAAGTCTTTTTTTAATTCTGTGCGGATGGAGTCGCGGGCGACAGCTAGTTTTACATATAAAAAGTAAGATTATTATTAAATATATGAAAGAAAGAGCTCGTCAAATCAGCTTTAAAACAAGTATGTTTATTTTAATTATTGCAGTCTAAATATAAATTAAAGGATATGACATACAGTGTGTTTTATCATTTGCTGCGCAGTTTAATCAACATGCTTTATACAGGATGTGGGAAAATAATGCAATGATAAACATGGACTTTGGACTTTTTTTCAAATGATTTGGTTAATTGTAATCGTGGGTTTTTAATTACCGTAGCATATTCATACTAATAAGTTGACCTCTTATTGACAGATACATAACCTCAAATGAAAATAAAACTTTATTTTTAATTTCATTTAATTAAGAAAAAAAACCAACCCGCACTTGGCCAGCGTGGTTGACTATGGCCTAATCACCCTTAACTTAGGGTAGGCTCCGAGCCCCTCAGTGGGGACGTACAGTGAGCTGATGATGATGATGATGAAGAAAAAAATGCAAATAAATGTTTTTTATGACTCTATCAAATTTTACCTTTTCCAAATATGATACAATGGGACATATTTTGTTTATATTGTTATTTTAAAATTCGGTCATGTTAAATTGAGGCGAGATAAGGTTATTGACCTTTCTTTCGTTAAGTGCGTCGCGGGAAATCCCTATATTCTGCAATCAAGTTTCGTTTTTATACCTTTATTTATGACCTAAGTTATTAATATTTAAAAATCTTTCCTTAAATTCTCCTTCAGGTAAAATTAAAGTAATTCATCATAATCAGCCTAAATTCATCCACTACTGGACGTAGGCCTCCTCATTCGATTGCCAGAATGCTCGGTCGTATGCCGCCCGCATCCAGTACACTCCCGTAACCTTGGCCAGGTCATCAGTCCATCGTGCGGGAGGACTGCCTAAGCTGCGTCGACCCGTCCGCTGCCGCCATTCTAGGACATTTCGGCCCCATCGGCAGTCCGTTCTGCTGGCAATGTCGCCGGCCCATCGCCACTTAAGGTTTGCAATTCTTCGGGCGATATAAACAGATTAATATCTCTATTTTTATTTCAAAGCAAATTAGCGGAATGAAAATGGATGGATGGATATCTATTTAAAGGTATGTCCAGAACGACTTTCTGAATCTTGATGAAATTTATTTTTTTTATAATTGATTTATTTAATAATTCCGCGCGGACAGAGTCACGGGCGACAGCTAGTACGAAATAAATATAAACGGAACAATATGCCCAGTACATTGCAATCTTGTCAGTTGACCAGTTGACGTCCAACGTTCGTTTGGTGTGGAGTGTTCCCACATTTTTTGTGTTTTTTTGTTTGTAGTTTTGTTTTTATCACAATGTACCAAGATATACCAAATCTGACGAGATGCTGCTTATGTTTTCCTTTAAGATATGGTCTCCTGGTATGGTCATATATCAAATTGGTTAGTAATTATTGTATTTTTTCAATGTTTTTGAACTGTGAAATGTCTTGTTGTGTTAATCATAGAAATTATATTTTTACGGTAACATAGACGTGTAGGTAACATGACTATAAATTATGGTGTAATTGAATCAGAATTTATTTTTCACTAGCTGTCGCCCGCGGCTCCGTTTTAATTAGTAGCCAATATGTTTTTCTAGACTATGTTCTACATTTATGCCAAATTTCAACAAGATCCATGCAGCCGTTCTAGAGTTACCTTATAACAAACATCCATACATCCGAACATTCTAATCTGCATATATATAAAAGAAAGTGGTGTTAGTTACACTATTTATAACTCAAGAACGGCTTTACCGATATGACTGAAAATTGGTGAGGAGGTAGCTTACAGCCAGCAAGCGGACATAGGATACTATTTATTCTTTTTTTTCAAATTTGGGCCTTGAAGAGCTGCTTTTTAACTTACTAATATCATGAATGCGAATGTTTAGATGGATGTGATGTGGGTAGATGGATGGGTGTTTGAAGATATCTCTAGAACCGCTGAACGGGTCTCGATTAAATTTGGCATACGAATAGAACACAGTCTAGAAAAACACATAGGCTACACTAATTAAGTTATTATATATCCACGCGGACGGAGTCGCGGGCGACAGCTAATTTTAATATTAATAAGATAATTTGCACAGAATTAAATAAAAGTTAAATGTAAAAGTCGCTAAGGAATTTGATGTTCCTTTAAACGAGGTGTAATGGAGGACTGTTTAAAATGTGATATGATATTTCAGGTCGCTACAATATTTGTCTTAGGAATGATACTTATCTGGATACCTATGTTAATTTGGTTCCTAATGTTGGGTTCTAAAGGGGTGTTTATTATTGCATTATATGTTCTCTATCTTGTGATCCTGCTGTTTGATATAATATTTAATATCGCTTTCATTGTTGGTTTACATAAGGTAAGCATTTTTCTTATTAATATATATTAAAAAAAGGTCTTGATAGACAGACAGACGGACGGACAAAATTCTATAAGGGTTCCATTTTTTCCTTTTGGGGTACGGAATCCTAAAAAATATAAAAGCGTCAATAACCTGAGGTTTAAGGATACAGATTTCCGATCACGTGATCGGGGGTTTGAATCTCGCCATTTGACTGTCGTTAACCATTTTCTAGCACAAGCATAGATCTTAGTATGAAGAATGGTCAAAGAAATCTTAGTAAACTAACCAATTTCTATTAATAATAAAAAAAATGCTTAAAACTAGAGTTCCGAAAAAATAGCCTATAATGTTCCCGTTACATTAGCTACTGTCCAATCAAAGGCCTGTAAAAATCAGGGAGATTACCCGGAACAAACGCGGGCTTGTGAGCAGATAGACAAACATACAAAAGTTTAAAAAATTAGTTTTGCTTTAGGTTCTTCATACAGGATTTTTTTATATTACATACAGAACTATAGTACTGTAATTTTATCCAGACCCTAAAGTTTTTAACATTATTTTTTTTCAGAAAAACACCACGTTGATAAGAATTTATTGGCGGTACGGCATCGCCTATGCATTGTCATTCATAATCTTCTTCCTTCTTGTTGGTGGATTTTTAATCTTAGAAAATTCTACGCCAGTGGATACAAATTTATTTGAATCCATTGCTGTCTTCTCGTCTGGTGTTACTGCGACCCTAAGTAAGTTTTATTTTTTATTTCACTTCTTCTAAAATCTTTTACTTACTTCACTTTTTAAAGGCGTTTGTTTAATGAAAACAAAACAAAATTGAGTTCTCGCTGAATCGTAAACACTAGTTACATGCCTAGTCTCTTTATGAAATGACTAAATTAGCAATTTATTAGTGACATGCAAAATTTGCGAGATTACATCTTATTGATATGAAGCAGTAGAGCGAGGTATGGCGACCGTTCAGGGCGCCGAGCATAAGGGACTTAGGCGCCACAATCAAGTATAAAGGGGCGCCTGTGTTGCCCTCTAAGATCTTTGGATGATTTCCCCCGACAGCAAAAAAGGGGCGCCTTAAATTTATCGCCCAGGGCGCCCGAATGCTACCGGCCCTGATATAACGTAGACTGGCCATTGAACATTGGAATATGTTTTAAAAAGCGTGTAATAGAATATTCTAACAATAGTGAAATGTTATTATATGATATTCTATGCGTTTCGTCAGTGGAAACCCACACTAATATTAACAATTTTTGTTTCAGTAATACATACATACATTATGTTATTAATAAGAAGTGAACTTCGCAAGCTTAAAAGTAACAATAATTTCCAATTCGAGAACCATGTCACTGAGCCCGTGTGTGTCATGAAGGAACCCAACGAAATGGTCACAGAAAAATAAAATATATCGGTTATCATATACTTTAATCTATATCTTATTCCATACTAGATGTCACCCGCGACTTCGTCCGCGCGGAATTAAAAAATATATAATTAGTAGCTTATTTGTTCTGCCAGACTTTGTTCTATATGTCTACGAAATTTCATTGAGATTCCATGAGCCATTCCGGAGATACCTTCTAACAAACATCCATCAATCCTGGACGGATAAACATTCGCATTCTTTATATCATACCTTACGCCCGCGACTCCGTCCGCGTGGATATATAAAAAACTTAATTAGTGTAGCCCACCCATCCATCTATCCACATCACATCCATCTAAACATTCGCATTTATAATATAATATGAGTAAGTTAAATAAAAAGCAACATTTCAAGACATAAACTTGGAAAAAAAAAATAAAAAAAGAAAGAACAAATAGTATCCTATGTCCGTCTCCTGGCTCTAAGCTACCTCCTCACTAATTTTCAGGCATATCGGTAAAGCCGTTCTTGAGTTATAAATAGTGTAACTAACACGACTTTCTTTTATATATATAGATTATAATATTAGTAAGATTATTAAGTTTAGAACTTAATTTATGTATTCTGTACTTTTATTATAAAAGAGAATTAGTAATATACGAATAAACTTAATGTAATATTAAACTTAATCTAAAACTCCTAGCCATTATTGCGACTTTGTTTAAGACTGAACGTTTAGTTTTTTAATAATGTTTATATTATATAATGTTAGACTAAACTTTAGTTAAGGTTCGCAAATAAAATGAATTATTCTTACTTTGTATTATTTATTCCTATTTATTTTTAATTCATAATAAATTATTAACTTAAAAGATTCAAAGGAGAAGAAAGAGTGCAAAAATATACCAAGACTGAATTTTGGAATTTTGGCTATAAAAAGAAATGAAAAAAAACAATAAAAATAACAACTTATTCTACTTCTTAATTTATTTTACATTTGAGATATAAAAAATATTACCGGGTGCGGAATCCCATGACTCAAACAACCAGTGGTCAGGGCTACAGAGACAGGAACCTTCTCGCAATGCTCGCGGTTTCTATATATTTTTTTAATTAAATAACATTTATAATGTCCAGTATATTTATATTAAAACATATAAAATTACAAAGAGATGACCTGAAGTATAGTTATGGTCTGGTATTTTATACATCTGTAAAGGCATATCAAGACGAACACGACCTTCAATATTGAAGTCTGCGAAGAATATCACACATTTTATTCAGAAAACTATAATTCAATATGCATTAATAATTATTACTCTATGTTCGATTAAAAAAAGAACTCCAAGGTCCAAGCTAAAGCCTTTGCCCCCTCTTTAGCAAAAGAACTCCAACACAAATAATCAGTTCATACGCAAAGTCAAAGATTAAATAAAATAGAACTTTCAATTAATTTGACAAACACGTATACGTAATTTGAAAAATAATTAATCATTTCTGGCTTTACATATCACCAAAGAAGTTCAAAAATATTTTACTGCACTTACTGCCTTACTCAGATTGAATTAATGGTTAGTTTAGAAGTTCTTTAGCGTAGATTTATAATAGTTTTATATAGGAGTAATAGTTACCAGTACGAACATTCTATAGAGGATTTCGTCCTTGGCCACCATGTGGAGCGTCCACCATAACTTCGGATACATGATTAATAAAACTGAGCTGGTTACTCCTCAGCTTCTTTAGTTCAGTTCTTATCAAAAGCAGCAAATATATCTGTAAAGCTAAAACAAAATTATTATTGTTAGAGGTAACTACAAAGTTCTATGAAATAAAAATTGTAAAAAATCATGCAGTTGATAAAAATATCATTAACTCTTGAATTTGAACTTGAATCTACTATAAACTCCTTTTAAAATCGATTATAAAGGAACGGAATTAAGGAAATATATTCTTCGTTTAAATGCAAAAGCAAAGGTTTTCCAGTAACAAACAGGTTACAATATTAAACTGTGTTATAACAAGTAAGTAGTACGAATCTCTAAAGACCTAGCACAAGTATTCGTAAGAACGTTTTCGAACGTTTAACATTGGTAGAGCCCGCTTTAACATCTTCGCACGAATTGGCCCGGCTCGCCCGGTGAAATAAAACGACCACACAGAAGACAGGCGTGATGTGGAAGCAATTCCGCGTTTCGTCTGATGAGAGGATGCATAGGAAGGGAAAATATTTTCTTTCTGTGCATCCTCTCCTCCGGCGATTAAAGGTAGGCAACGCATATGCTATTGCGTATGTCTATGAGCAGCGGTCGCTTCGCTATTTCAGCGATTTCAGGTGGCCGCTCGCTTGCCACCTTATGATATAAAAAAAAAGAAATCTGTACTAAAATTTGTGCAGCGTACAAGGCGTAAAGTACACCAACAAATCTCATACAAATGACATATTTTGTTGATGACGTCACGGAGGAACGTGTCGCAAATGTTTGGCTCTCTGGTGTTCTTTTTTTTTATTAACTACAACTTACCAAATCCACAGAAGACAAAGGACAGATCAATAATCGTGTTCTCAAAGTCATGGTGAATCTGACGATGTTTCACCACGAATAATGTTAAGAAAGAAGCCAATGTTGTTGTTATTCCGTAGTAATAGTAGATTCGCAGGAGTCTAGACAGTTTCTGTAACAATATATGTACCTATTTTGTTTTAATATTAAAAGCTAGCAAACAAGCAAGCGGCCAATTAAATTACCGCTGTCTATACCATCAAATAACTGAGGAGGGAACGAACAGAAAGAGAATATTTGATGTATCCCCATCATCAAATCAACATCCCTTTCCCTTCCTTTTCTTATTAGAAAAGGGTGGAAAGATGTCGAAAATTATCCAGTTTGAACAGGCAATGAATTAAAACTCCAAAACTTAACGAAGCAAATCTAAATTTAGGGTCATTATATCTCAAAGCAGATAGAATTCGATTAAAGTATTCTCCTCTATGGTTGCAAATGTCACTTAAGAGCTGGCGACTTGCTAATAAGTTTGCCATTTTCAAGAAAAAAACTAGAACAAAGTTACATACTCTTTGACAAATACTCTATGCACGACTAGTACAAACATGCAAAGAACATCCTGTATATACCAGATGAGCACCAATGAGCAGAATAATATTGAAGACTATCTCCAATATATAAAGGAACACGGGCAACCACATCTGAGTATAGAACGAGAGGCCTCTGTACATGGTCATCGTCAGCTTTTTCGAATCCCCAACGGCCAGCCATGTCTCCAAGCTCACCACTAGCACAGCGAATATCTGAGACAAGACAAGAATTGAATTATTACCATGAATTTAAAACTAAATGGAAATTCATTATCTTAAAACTAAAAACATACACAAAAATTTAGAATTAATTTAAATGAATAAATGGAACATATAGCTATCTATCTCTTTCATAGGATTTTACAAGTTACTTGATATCTTCTATCACACTCATGTAACGAAATGTGACTTATGCTTAATCTCTTGGGATATTTCACATCAAGTAATAAACATACATACAAAAAAAATCACACCAAGAATAAACAAAATGATTGTCCGATTTAAGGATGATTTCATCACACAAAACTTCCGAAAGAGTGAACTTGTTTTGATTCAATGTTTTTGTGTATTTTCCAGTTTACAAATTATGTTGTTTTATTATAAAAATATTTATCAGTGTTTTGGTTTCCTTGGGAAGTAACGTCATTATTGAACATGTAAAAACATGTCGGAAAACATTTGAATATTATGATTTGGTGATGTTCTTTATTCCAAGCCAAGGTAATAAACACTGGAGAAAGCGAGCGTCGGTTAGGTGCTTGACTGACCCGAAATCTAAAGCTAGGTACCGAAATTCCGGGCAGACGGTGTCGCGGGCGTCCGCTAGTATGTCATAATGTTGATGTTTCAAATGGAAATGTATTTATTATGTTATTTCCCGCATTACATCCCGTTGTAACGACAAAGATAACTTGTATCAATATAATCATGTGCTATGGGGAATTCATATATATATTAATTTTGTTTACATATCTTTATATATATAATTCTTCTGTGCGTGTGTATGTCACTGAACTTCTCTCAAACGGCTGGACCGATTTTGATGAAATTTTTTGTGTGTGTTCAAGCGGATCTAGGAATGGTTTAGATTCACAATTTTCATCAAATATTAACTTCATAATAATTTATTCAAATTAAAGACGTGTAGACAGGACAACGTCTGTCGGGTCCGCTAGTAATATATAATATTTACTATTTATAGAAAAAAATATACAATCAAAATGTATTAAGGCAATTTTATCATGATTTTTAACCGTCATTTTAAATAACATAACATGGCTCATCCAATGAATAAAGCGAAGAAAACTTTCGCATTACTCTTTGGTTTCGATTCTGTTTTAGCATTGTGCTTAAAGCCTAAAAGCTCTGAAGTTACGGCTATTAAAATATCCTAGATAAAAAATAAACTAGATGTCGCCGCGAATCCGTCAGCGCAGAATTTAAACAAATTTAATTAGTAGTCTATGTGTTCTTCCAAACTATGCATGTTCTACATCCATACTAAATTTCTGTGAGATACATGTAGCCGGTGATACCTTCATACATCCATCCATCCATCCAAATATTGGCATTTATATTAGTAAGTTTACATAAATTAACTTCTGTACACTTACCAAATTAAGATATCCAAAAACGATTATCCCGTATCTCAGAGGTATAATACAACAGCACCGTTTGCAATCCGGTAATTCCACTCGCATGATTGAACTAAAGTAATCAATTTATCTTTTTTATTTACCTTTTATCCGTATCTTTTATCATATATATTTCTATGTACACATCTTGTGACCTAAGGTCTATACTTGTCGAACAACCCACAGCATCTGAGACGCGATTATGTCATTGTTCGCGCATCAGGAAACACGACATTATAGCGAAGTGGCCGAACAAAACCATCTGCCATTTTATTCTACAATTGAAGTTCGTTAACATAACACTATTCTTTATTAAAGGGAATTATGACATAATCCAGAGATTCTCAAACTTTACGTACACCCCATGCACTTTTGCACTGGTTTGTTTCAAGTTCAACTGAGCTACAACTTTTGAAGCCTCAAATTGTTTTTCAGTCATCGTGAACGCACGTCAGGTTTTCCGTGTGCCTCAAGAGGACCATCTAGACACTTTTGTGAATAACTGATATAAGTGAGTGTAAGTGTGATTTAAGTAGAGTGTATTAGGGTCGGAATAAAATCTAATCTTTCTAAATTAAACATGTGTGATATTAATTTTATGTCATATTTCGTCACTACTTTTTCAGCGCAGGAAATAGCCTATAATATGCCGGCGTGTATCACCTACCTTCCATTCCAAGTCTCGTCAAAATCGGTTAATTCGTTCCGGAGATTACTCGAAAGAAACGCGGACTTGCGGAGAGATAATCAGACGAAAATTTACAAAATACTTTTGGTTGTTATCAACGTAGACGCAGTAGAGCTGGATCTGCGGGAGCTACAAGCGATGGACTGGCAGGAGAAGGCGCAAGACAGGCGACTTTGGCGATCTCTTGTGTCGGAGGCCAAGACCCACTTTGGGTCGATGCGCCAGCGGAGTAAGTGTTATCAACGTATAAGAAATATGTTTTATATTACATACAGACATTCTAATCCTATTATATGTATAGATATAGTAATTATGTATACCTTTTCTTGTATATCTTAAAGTAATTTTTATGTAGTATATTATTGTGCTAATAACAAGAAAATATATTAAAGACATATTATCATTGCAAAGGTCATAGTTTATAAATATAAGTTGTTAATTTACTTGTATATGTTTAATTACTGATAACACGTCATAACATATATAAAATATTATTGGTTTGAAATAAATAAAACTAACTAGGGGAACGTACCCATACTACGTTACCCGTTTGGGGAGGGGAGGCGGGGGTTAGCGGAGTCTTTAAAATACTACGAGCGGGGGGGGGGGGGGCTGAGGTTATTGTGACGTAGTCGTTAGTTGTTCTTTTTCATAATACATTATTCTCTAGTAATTTAAGTATGCATGCAGTCTTAAAAAAACTTAGAAAAAACTATAAAAGTAGGTCACGTAGTATGTGTATGTTCCCTAACAAGGGTGACATAGGTTATAAATAAAAATAAAACATTATTACAAACTTCTTTATTTAAATATCACTCTAAAGTTATTACTAATACATCTTTGG